GTGATATAACTATCTTGTTGCTAACGTTGCCTTCTTTGATAACTTTTTGGAAAAATAAACATGTTTGTTGTCTTTATTTTTTGTGTATTCACTGTATTGTATTGAACAAAATGGTTATGCGACCCGCGCTCGTCATTCTCTCAGTTATCTAGCCCGCTGTGAAAAACGTTTGGTGACCCCTGCTCTAGTCTATCGGCTAAATTTGGGACGGCTAGTGCAGATAGCCTTCGTGTAGCTCTGTGCGAAATTCAAAACAAACCAAACAAACTTTTCCTGTATTCCTACTGATACCTCCCCGCATAAGGAAATAACTGAACTGTCACCAAAACAGTTATATTCAAGCATTTTACACTGAGCATGTTATTCACCTCAGAACTCTCCATAGGAGAACTTGTCGGTCATTGGCAGAAATCAGAAACTTTGATTAAAGCACGAGCGTCTCATGACATTGATGTCAATTCTGACCACAGTACAAACGAACTGTGTGGTGTTATACAACAAGTTATGGGGCTAAAGCAGATCTTTTGATTTTAAATAAAACTCGTGAAAGCTTTACCTTGGCGTTTCATTACTAATTGACCGGAAGTTGATATTGAGTTCATGGACAAATAGGGGCGATTCCTAATGGCTATCACTGTTGTTTCGATTTGGTGATGTATTTCATCTTCTATTACCTTATCCAGACTTTTTAGTGTACATTCCAGTTGTCTTGTTCATAAAGAGAAATTATGAACCTGGATATGCCAAAATAAGTTATATTATGTTTGTCCGAGTTCCAACGTTTCAAAAGCTCTAATAATCTGCATTTCTGTCTATAGAGGCTAAAACTATTTTTGTAGTTAGGGTGCTAAAAACCACTAAACAAAATTTATCTCCCTATATATATATATGATGGGAATTACACATGGATGGCTCATCGTATGTCAAGCCAGGGGGTGCTGCTGCACCCTCAGCATCCATAGTTTTCGTGCCCTTGCTTCTGTCAAAAACCATTTTATCCCCACTAGCACGTAATATTGCCACACAGCTATACTGAAACAATAACCAAAATTACAGCAATTACCGAAACCACAAATGATGAAATCTAAAGATATTGTTGCGTCAGCAGTCACATGACTACAGTGACGCAACGTTTCTAGAATTATCATGTACTTTGGCGAATGCTCTAGTATTTACTAGTAGGGTAGGCTGGTATATATAAGAGGGGAAAACGTAACGCGGTAGGAGAGGTAATGTGTGTATAGATTGTGAGTAATTGAACTGCAGTCAGAAGTATTATTGACGTTCGTTGATTAGCGTTTGTTTAGCGCGATTGTTGAAGTTGAGTGTATCGGTAAAGTTATATTCGGAAAGAATAAACCAGTTTTATTAAGCAAAGACTTGTGTCGTTAAAATTTCGTCGGAACGAAGTTACGGAAAAATAAATTAACAAACGGAGACGTAACAATATAATAGTACTCAAGGCGGGTAACACGTGCAAAATGCCAAATTGTTACGCGTACAGTAATGATATAAATTTATTGTTGTCATGTTTGAAAACCTAAATAATTATCTAATGTCTGATTACCAATGGATTCTACATTCTATGGTGTGTTTTTTCGAAACAATTTAAAGACAAAATTACTTGCAGAGCCACGACTTTGCTGGTTACAGAGTCCCGATGATTTTGACTGTCTCTTTGTTTCGGATATTCATGTAAAGTTCACAAGGACTACTGCTCTAGCTGCCTTTTATTTTCAACTGAGATGGAAGACAGCCAGCCAACAACATCCACCATGAACTCTTGGGTTACTCCAATCGAAGAGTGAATGTGGCCTAAAGTTTAGGTTTGCCGGACTGTGAACCTGAGGGCCAATAATCTTGCTCCATATTTTTTGGCCGTGAGTGCCTTACAAGAGTGATCGCCAAACTCCATTTAGTCACAAGTATTTTTTTTCATATTTATCTTTGAATGCTTTTTCAACCAACACCCAAGACTGTCATTCATTACTAGACTCCCATTAAGATGAGTCTTCAAGTCATTTTTTTTTTCAGTACTTATTGTCTCACAAGCATGCTATATTTCATAAATACCAGATGAAATCTACATTTATTTTACAGACCAAATATGTCCTTAATATATATAAAACACACACACATACATATATTAATTGACAAAATATTATTAAAAAGAAACATGCTGGTCCATATAGGCTATCCCATCCATTAAACTAACAAAAAAATCAAATATTTTTCAAGCTTGCTTAACAAGGATTAATCAAGCTTTTGTAACCACAACTTTTCCCACCTGGAAGCCTTTATTAAGTACTCTTCACCTACACCTAACAAGACATTCCTATAACCTATGAACAAGTCATCAAGTATCCATTTTATGTCACAATCTAACATAGGAACAAAGTTTATCATTATCAGCACTGCTAGTTACATATCCTTTGAGACAACAGTGCTTGTTCCTCAGACTTACCTTAGGGTGTTTGTCATTAATACAGCTTTTAAAAATATATGTTCTTCTAGAATAAACTGATAAATGTCTTAAGATTTCACTCAGTAATGGACCAAGATCATTATTTTAAACTATACATATGCACGTTTCGTATAGTTCAAGAAAAGAACACTATCGCTGTGATGTTTAGATAAGCAACACCCCAAGTGCCGATGTAATTTTAGATACACAATAAAGAACAAAAACAAAAGTCAAAACTCTCACATAGTAAACAATCACACTTTACAAAGTTAAACAAGGTTACATAGCATGTCATATATACATACACACATCTGTTTAGCTTCTCAAGTTCCCAACTCAAACCATTTCTTACATTCATGCAATTCTGTACAGTATAAGCATCACTTGCTTGTTATACTCTACGTTTCTGGGCAGAAGATAATTCTTGGTTCTCAATATGTAATATCAACAGCTTCTTTAGTTTCCAAGAACACTCGGATCTTCCACCTTGAAAGACATCTTACATTCCAACTGCAGTCTGATACACCAATTTCATTTACAGATTTACAACTGTTTAAATGTACAGTCTAGCTAGTTGTACTTGAATAAGATTTGTCAGAGAATTCTGGCTCTTCAGCAAAAACTTTGGACAAAAAATCCAGTTCCTCACTATACTATTTTCTCAAGTCCACACTATGCATCTCCAATAACCACATACATATATATACCATTTGGTCCTTCAGGGCTGTCTTTGAACACCCACCCTTAAGAATGAAAGAAACGAAAAACAATTTTGAACCCATCCTTTACTCTTGAAAAATTTATTCCACTCTGAAACCAAGTTAAAGTGTTAACGTCCACTACTGCCAAGAATTCAGTCTGGAATTTAAGGGATCATAAGTTAATCACCCAGCTACAAAAAAAAAACTGTCTTAACTCAAGCCTGCCTCGTCTTTTCTAAATCTTAAACTTTTGTCTTCTGGTCAAACATTTAATATAGATGGGAACCCACTGAACAGTGGCCATAAGAAAAAGGATCTGGCCACAGTGATGGATAAGTCACTCAGCCATCGAATCAGTGCTCTGTTGTTAGTTGTAAAGCTAATACAACTTTTTTTAAGTGTATTTTAAAAACAATGATTACAAAATCAAAATAAATAATTATCACTAGTTAGGTCTCACAAAATTTTGCTTCTAGTAAAAAGATCTTAATTTATTGGAGATATTTCGAGTTACTACTGAACATTAGGATGAATCTTGGGAAAAGGATTACCTTACAAGGTAAGTTAATAGCTCTTATTTTCTCCTAAGAAAAACAGAAGTGAGATTATTGAAATTTAAATTATTATCCAAAAAAATGCTATACTCCAATTAAGACATTTTATATTTCTAAAACAGGTCAGCAGTACCAGAGGACAGCACTTTACAAAAGTTTAAAGGGGGAACCTGTAATGATTTCCTTAAGTTTTTACTTTTCTCAAACTCAAAAGAGTGTGTATGCAAATATAGCCATGAATAATGAATTACCAAATGGTCCCTTTTTATTGTAAATATATATATGAATTTTTACATCTAGTTCTATTAAAAAACGTTAACAAATTTTGTAAGTGTTAAATGTTATGCTTGTACTAGATTTAATTTATACTCTGAAATAAGACTGCAACTTGCCGAATTTAATAGAAAATCAAAATTATCAATAATGTTATTATTACTACTAACACTACAGTAACAAAGTATTAATCCAAAGTTCTTAGTCTTACACAGTTACGCAAATTACAGGTTTTAGTAACAATAATATAAAATTATAACAATACAAAGAAATTAAAGTTTAAACACTAACCTTCGCATTCTCCTTCCCGGAGACCTTCTGTATAATCAAACATTCCTAAAACCAGAAAAAATACTAATGATGTTTTCAAAGTTCCAAACCACCTTTCTCTAGGCCTATTAGTATAACTATCTATCTGTTTAGTATTACCCATTATTAAAGTTTTACAACGCTTATTTTCGCTTGGAAAACTACTAATTAAGTTTAACTATCAACCGTACCGTAGTTATAATAATCAATAAACGTTGGTTAGATAGTAATGTTTTTAAGAGATCTTATAACTCCAAATTCAACTAGTAAACTAACACCTTTATCAAAATTAAATATTTGTTACAACTCGTAGTTTACCAATTCCTCTATTACACTACAGTGTCCTATACTCATGATACTAAAACCCTACAACAGTTACGAGTTATATACTGTAATGCCTATCACCACTAGCCTGACGACACGTCAACTCTGAATGTGTGCATACACGGCTTTCTCTGATTGGCGGATCTGGAATGTCTTCAGCAGGCCTTCTCGTGAACATAAGTGCATATTTAAAACGTGAATTATTCTAAAACTTATTTAACTGTGTTAGTATTATACAATTTAAACATATCATTTATTTGAAAATAGAATATTATGCTCTTCGCTATCAGAACGCTATGCTTTGGTACAAAGTTTCTTAAACAAAAAACATCATTTTTCCAAGTCGTTGCTTTTATTTGTTGGATTTCGCGCAAAGGTACTCAGTAACTATTTTCTCTATTTTGATGTGATAGTCTAGAAGGAAAGCAGGTTAATCCCACCTGATCGAACAGTGGGATATGATTTTTTTTTATTTGGCGAGAACGGAATGCGAACCTCAGATCCACAGTCCGTTGTTCAAAGTAAAGAATGGTTTACATAGCCACGAATCAGACAATTAATCTTTTCATATAATGTACTTCGGTACGGATATCAATCATTGATCTCATAGTTAGTAGCTTATACGATCACTTAAGGATAATTACCGAGTTTTTGTTTTTAGTTACCAATATAATTTGTTTTTACTCTGCGTTTTGGGCAATAATCTGCTATCGCCTTCAGAGGAGTCTTAACAAAGACTGAATGTTGTAGTTTTCATTTTCTGTGTTGGGGACTCCAGCGGTAATTGAGATTAATTGTAATATTGTTGGTAATTTTGTTCAAAAAGATTTTGTGTCACTCAGAGGGACGGGCCAGGTAGCCGTGGACTAATGGATTTCACAGTTACACCTATTCCATGGAATACCAAACCTTAACACTAATAGTTCTCATTTCTATACAAGTAAATCATGTTATCTTTTTTACAGTTTCAGTTTGCATGTCCTTACTTGTACTACTCCACTGGACTAAA